GATCTGGCTTTGACAGGATGCGCTGGTGACCCCGGTCGTCAACTCGCGCCCCCGCGCGGCTGCCCGCAGGAGGCGCGAGAGAGCAGGGGCCATCGCGTCAGCGCGTTGCTGGGTCGAGCTCTAGAGGGGGTTCTACTTTCACAGAACCGAGAGATGCTCGAAGTCATGCCTCATCTGCGTGGGGATGGTGCGCGCGAAGGCCTCCGCCGACTTCGGGGAAGTAGTTTGAGGCCCCCTGGCGACGTAAAAAAATGTCGCGCTGCTTCTAGGAGGCCGCCTGGCGACGCACCCTTCTCTCGGACCCGAATGCCATTCCCGACGGGAGCCACGGGAAAGGCGTTCTACTCAATGGGCCAGTTCTGATGCACCCAGAGACCTCACCGATTTAAGAGAGGTGTTTTTAATGACAAAGTCCAAAAGGCAGCGCTGGCGGCGGTGAAAGCGCGCGCCCACTCAGACCTCCAGCGCCGATGGCATGACTCGCTCACCGCAGGCGTCGGAAGAAAAGCGATGATGGGCCAGGCCAGGAAGGGCGCATATAGGGGGGCCAGGACTTCGCCGAAAGAGGGGGTGCTTAGGTGGTGGAGGCTGGCGCCGTCTCGGGTGGAGCTTCAAGCGCGTATATTAGGGCGGCGGCAGGCAGTATTACGGCGCCCAGGGCATCGCGCTCAACTACTCGCGGCCATCTTCGGACAGCTACCGATCGAGAGCCAGCCGGCGGCTGTTGATCTAGAGGTATCCCTAGACGCGAAATTCTGCAGGTTCAGGGCGACCTTAGAGCTGCCCTACAACTGGGCGATGCTTATGATCTGCGAGACCGAGCCGGACCTAAAGTACTCCGGATTCTCTGGGAGCATGAATTGAGAAAGGAGTTTATCCGACTGGCTGCGACCGCATTGAGAGCAGAAGCTTTCTCGGTCCGCATTCCACCCCCGGGGGCGATCTTGCATAAGCCGCGCGAAATGATGGGAGACGGTGTATTGGAGAAGCCTGGGTGCTGACACTTTGTCGTGACATGCGCGATGAATGCGCGGCCTGTTCCTATGCGTTCAAGGCTCTCCAAAAATCATTATACTGCGCATCATCGGAGCCGCGACATTCCCGATCTCATCGTTGTCACCGCTGCCAATGCCCCCTTGCGAGAGTGTGCACTCGTGCAAGGAGACGGCAATGCGCCATGTCCACAGGCCCTTCTGATTGGCAAACGCAAGGCGCGACCTCGAACCCGCATGGCTACTATTGCACCGCAATCGTTATCTTGTCCGTTATACGATTTTTCTTGTCTGGTGTGCTGAGCGAATTGCAGGGCCACGTTCGTTGGTTTCGCGCCCCATCTCTGAGTGGCCACGTTCGCACGGCCGGCTTGGGGTCTAAGGTGGACGGCAGGCGCCGAGGCCGACGGAGCAGACGCCAGGCGCAAGGCCCAGCGGATCGCGACGGGCGACGGCGACAAGGACAGCAAGATGATGGGCTAGTACTTTTGCTCACCAAGCTGAGCTTGGCCAACGCCCAAAGCTTGCGCGAGCTTTGCGCAGTTGTATTCCACGCGTTCATCACCCCCGTTGTCCAGCATGATCATCGCGCAGATGAAGTCGGTGGGCCAGGCGCACCACGCGAAGACCCAGGAGATCGCGAGGATCGAGGATGCTGCCAAGAAGGAGATCGCGGTCCAGAAGCAGGGCCCACCTTATGTTCACACGTGGATGGCTCTTCTGATAGGGATCGGCAACGCAGAGGGGGAATCAGGCTCTGAAAGAGGCGGATATCAAGACAGCGCAGACCGCCTGGGACGAGCACGCGAAGTCGAAGCCGACGATGGACGACCTAGTCAACGACGTGAAGCACTGCAAGATCAAACAAAAAACAAAAACAATCAACAGGGAGAGCAAGCAGGGGCCGGCGCGGCTGACCATCGCTTTCGACCCGTCGCAGGCGAACTTCGAGGACGCATTGCTTCGCTGGGTCCGCCGCCAGGGCCGGGCGAAGAAGCATGGGGCGGCCCCTGGGCCACCTCCTGCAAGGCCAGCAAGTAGGACCAGAGCCCAGCCAGACCCCAGCACTTGTTCAGACACGTCTTCGAGCGACCAGTTCGAGATTAGCTTCGTTAGTTGAGCAGGGTCTGGTTTCGCAGTCGGCGGCCGTTCATTTTGTCCGGAGAGCGAAAGCCCAGCCGAAAGTGAAAGCGAAACCCAGAGCCAAGCCGGAACCGATCCTTTCTCCGTCTGAGCCTCCTCCTCCCTCTGATCCCAGCCACAGGTTTCGATAGTTCCCTGGCCAGGGGCCGTTTGTGCCTCCTCGTGAATTTCGTCTTGTCCGCTCGGTCCCAGCAGGAGTGCTATCTGGCCCCGAATTCCCCCGCAGGGCGCGAGCAGGCCAGAGCCCGCGTCCTGGGCTAGCGTGCCGACTACGCTCTCTTTTGCAGGGTGTAGCACCCAGCCGCAATTTTGAATAATTTTGGCTGCTTCGCAGACTGTAGTCTTTTCAGATGCACCTCCCGCTGCCCAGAGCTGAGAAAGTCCTGGTCGCCGTCGTTGTCGTCCTTGTCATCGTCGTCGTCCAGTTGCCGAGTCAAGCGGTTTTTCATGATTGATTGAGCAGTTGGTTGGTTCGTTGGTTGCTTGGTTGGTTGGTCGTTTGGTTGGTCGGTTGGTTTGCTGGCTATTGGGTTGGTCGGTCAATGTGGGCATGCCCCTCACGCAGATCTCGCCCCCAGAGCCTGGAATACGTTTGCTTGGCCCACGTACTTGTCTTAACCATCGGATTTCATTTGCAAAAAACCATCAGATTTCATTTTCAGACCAACGATTTGGGATTGATTTTGGGGCCCGGCGCAGGGGGCGATTCATGGGCGGCGCCGCTCGCCAAGATGTTGGACCGCGCCCAGCCCTGGGGTGCTCTTGGCCCACGGGTGCATCACACTTGCGCGGCCTTCCAAGTGTTCGCTGCGTCTGTCGTCACGTTCGTGGCGCAGCTGCGGCCCTTGCCAGCTACTTTCTCGACTGCAGAGACCAAGGCCTGCTCCAAGCTGTTCCCTGGCCCCAGAGAGTGGGCGAGCGCCGAGGTTTTGACCCAGCTGCGGGATCTCGGCTTTCCCTGCGAGCTGATGGACATCCGTTGCGCGTCGATTGCGGCGAAGGCGCGCGTCTGCCACTACGGGGGCGCCCGGCAGGGTGGCCTGCGAGTGCGGAGACGGGCCCGCCAGCTTCGGCATCGCATGCAGCGCACTCTTCGCGAGCTTTTGCCGGCCCGCATCGAGCGGTGGTTGGAGTCGAACACGCTTTTCGTGCTCGAGGCCGCGGAAGAAAGAGTTCACGAGCTCGAGCTGGCGCAGAACCTCCCCTGCACGCGAACAGCGACGAAGGGGGCCCGGCAACAAATGAAGGCCATGTGGCAGGCCGAGCGCAACAGACCACTGGGGCATTGACGTGGTTCCGGGGGCGCGGGTGCAGCGATTCCGGTCGCGCATGGAGGCGCTCAGCGCGTTCGTGCCGCCCTGCGTCCTGGCCGCGGCCCTGCGCACCGCCTTCAACGGGTGGGTCACCACGCGGCATTTCCAGCAGATTGGACGCTGCGCTTTCGGGTGCGCCCGGGGCGTGGACAGCATCAAGCACTACGCCCACTGCAGCTTCTACCACAGGTGGAGTGAGGAGCATTGTTGTCTGTCGCGGCCGGCAACGTCTCAGTGCCTGCCTAATTTTTTGGGCCTGTGTGCTTCCGCGAGCTCCGCGCGAGCAGGGGCGGCGCGCACGCGGCAAGAGCTCGACGCTCTTCGGGCCGTTTGCCGCTACGCACTGTACAGGGCGCGTTCGGCGATCCGCCACCGCGTGGTCGAAGTTGCGGATGCCGGGGCCGTTTTCAAAGCGGCCGTCCGCGACGCCTGCGCGGCGCGCGGCGGAGCCGCTGGACAGCTTGCTTGCTCGGTCTCGCTCCCGGCCGCGTACGCTGGCGCCCGCAGAGGAGCGGCGCGCCGTCAGCAGGCGTTCGTCGTGAGGAATAACTGCTCGCATTTCCTCCTTTTCCTGCTCCTCCTCCTCCTCCTCCTCCTCCTCCTCCTCCTCCCCCTCTGTCGGTCGTTTGCTTGTCGCGGTAGCATGGCATGCTTCATTTGTTATTTTCACCACCTGTGTTCCATTTCGTTGCCGCTTGGCTTGGCGTCGTGGGTTGGGCCACCTCGCAAAGCTCGACCTACTCGCTTCAGGGTCGACGCTGCTCCCGTCGGCTGCGAGAGCATAGTTTGATTCAGGTTCTAAGCGCAGTAATACTTCCCCACTCCCTCTTTTCTCCCCCTTTTTCCTCCCTTCTTGTCCTCGTCTTCCTTCCGCACTAGCGGGCCGTAATTCGTGACATTTTCGTTGCGTGCCCCCGCTTCTGTAGGGTAGCGCCACTTGTTTCTTCCCTCGTCGTCCTCTTCTCCTCCCGCCTCTGCGCCCCCCGCCTCCTCCTCCCCTTCAGTGTTTTTGCAGGTGGGTCCGAGGCTTTGCTTAGGATCCTTTGTCCGTCCCCTGGCGGGGTCGGGGCTGCCCTCCCCTTTTTTCCTCTCCCTCTTCCGCTCCTTCCTCCTCCTCCTCCTCGTCCTCCTTGCTTCCCTTGCCCCTCTTCTCTTCTCGCCGGTGCTTTTTTACTTCTGGGATGTTGCTGTGATTTAAGCCACTGGTCTCTGCTGCGGATCGACACGGAGTGCGCGGGTTACTCGATTGGTGTTGCGGTCGCCCCCTCCCTCATGCCCCTCATTCTTCTCCCAAAAGATTTCGTTGAAAAAAAGAAAAAACAGGGCCCTTCACTGATTTCATCTTTCTCCTCTCTGTAACCTATTATCTCCCCCGTCCTCCCGCACATCCTTCCTCATCCCTTCCTCGCGTGTATCCCCCTGCGCCCTCCGCTCTCTCATCCTGTCTAGGAAAAGGAGGAGGAGGAGGAGCAGCAGCAGGAACATGCGGAGGAAGAGGAGGAGGAGGAGGATGGCGAGGATCAGGACCTATTGCGCAGTATCCCTACGAAAGGAAGGCGAGCTGGTGCGCCTGAACGAGCAGATCGCGCTGCTTCACCACGGCGAGGAGCCGCTGCCGCTGCCGCCGCCGCGGGCGCTCCTCCAGCTCTTGAGGCTCTTCTGGGCTGAATCCTTCGCAAGTTGCGCGCAATTCTAGGAGGAGGAGGAGGAGGAGGACGGGTGGTGAGAGGGGAGGCGAAGGAGGAGAAGGAGGAGGGGGATGATGATGATGATGATGATGATGATGATGATGATGATGATGATGATGATGATGATGATGATGATGATGATGATGATGATGATGATGATACGGGTGATGATAATGATGCTGATCATATTGATGATGAAACTGGTTATAATCAATTTGCTGTTGAAGATCATGCTGCTGACGATGGTGGTGCTGATGACGATGACGATGTTGGTGATGATGATGTCGAACATGAGGTTGTTGATAATGCTCATGAGGATGGTCAGTATCATGTTCATTATCATGATCGGTGTTATGTTGATGGCGATGATGATGACGATGTTGATGATAATGATGATGCTGCTGATGGTGATGCTGATGATGGTGATGGTGATGGTGATGGTAGTGATGATGATGCTGATGATGATGACGATGATGCTGATGATGCTGATGATGCTGATGATGAGGAGGAGGAGGGGGAGCGGGCCTTCTCCCCTGCATCCGCCGCCCCCCCCCTCCCCTGTCGGGCGCGCGCCCCCATCCCTCGCCTCTCCTGTACCTCCCTCCCCCTTGCCCGATCAGCCCTGCTGCGCAAGCCGCGGGCCATCATCTGTACATCTGTACGCTTGCTTTATTCCTCAGAGTGGAACGATATTTCAATGGTTGTATGATCGTGTCGGACCCAGCTGACACACCTCCGCATGTTCGTTCGCTCTTCTCTCTTTTCCTTCTGCTCCCCCCTCCTTGTCTTCTCCTCTCCCCCCCTCCCATTTTTATTTTCCTGCTCTTCTCCCTTCTTCTCGAGTGAGCTGGTATAGTACATACTTCACGCTATGGATCGGCCCTCTCTTGAGTCACCCATTCCGATACGTGCTGTCCTCCTGCGTCAAATTGGCGAGAACAGCGCTTTCGACGCAAGACTGTCCCAGCCGCAGAGAAGAGCGTTTACAGCACTATGGAGTGTGAAAGGCGTTCATCAACACCAGCAGCTCGAGGGCATTCTTATACGCGCCATGCTTCGGGGCCGGGTGCGACTATGTGTGCAGACGTTGTCGCCCTCAGCGTATCCCCAGATTCGATACTTTCTGAATGTCTCGCGGAGGATTACGGTACAGTTGTGAGCGTACCATTGTTTTTGGTTTCACATGTTTTATCACATGCAAGTGTGTCCTCAAACGCCCACGTGCATGAACAATATAGTCATGCGAGACGTTTCGATCCCAGACTTCGCAGTGGATGATTCGGCCTAAGGCGCTGATGTCCATACATCAGAGGCAAGAGGTGAACCGGAATGATTTGTGAATGCTCGTGCCCATTAGCAGCACCTATTACAGCGTTTTGCAGCAGAAGTCGCGACACATGGCTAGGGCGGTTTGCGAGACAACTCTGACGGTTGGGTGCTGTCGACGGCGGGAAAGTGTGATTCGGCGCGGGCACAGTTCTAATTCATATCCACAGCCAAGCATCCTTTCTCTGGGAAGGATGTATTCTTGTTTCGTGGACAGGTTCGGACCAAGGGATACGGACGATCTCGCGCATTCATTCTTTATTGGGCCCTTGATAGTCCATGTCGCAGCGGATTTGTCTGCCGACATGTTTGTTTTAAGCGACGGCCCTCTGATTCTATGCGCACAGGACAACATGTTTGATGATGTCGCGGGATTCGGTTGGGATCAGATGGCGGCGGAGCAGAATTGGCAAGGTTGTTGCACAGGATGGAAGAAAATCCGTAAGGGCGTCGCCCCCTGCCGCCGGCCCCCTCTCTATCATAATGGGATACCTCAGAGCTATATTGGGATGTTCGGGCGCCGTCTTGATGACACTCGGGAGCGTCATGCTAGGGCGGCTGGCGATGAGCAACATAGATTGAGATGTTGAAGTTGTTGTTGAACGCTTTGTTGCCTTCTTGGCATTTCCCTCCAGCTGTTCACTGGAAGCGCTCTGGGAACGGCCGGGGATTGCTTCAGGCAATCTCTGGGAAGGTTATTTCTTCCTGCTCTGGAGAAGGAGTGGTGCCTTTGGGCAGCTTCCGCGGGGCGGATTCGTAGCGTGGGGGGTGCGCGCGAATGTAGTGTAATTTGCAAGGGGATCGTGGCCTCGGGGACGCGAACGTGGCGTAATCTACAAGGGATCGTGGCCTGGGGGGCGCGACCGCGGCGTAATTTACAAGGGACCGTTACCTCGGGGGCGCGAATGTGGCGTAATTCACGCGGGATCGTGGCCTCGGGGGCGCAAATGTGGGGTAACTTACGAGGGATCGTGGCCTGGGGGGGGGGGAATGTGGAACCCATTCTCGAATTTTCCAGAAACGGGGGGGGGGCGGAAGAATACCAGCGGAACGCATATCCCAGAACAGAAAATGCCGTTTTTCTGTTTTGGAGAGGGGGAGCGTTTTTTTTTCGGCAGCCTCCGCAAAACGGATTCGTGGCCTCGGGGGCGCGCCCGCTGTGTAATTTACTAGGGATCGTGGCGTCAGGGGCGCGAATGTGTTGTAATTTACAAGGGATCGTGGCCTCGGGTGCGCGAAAATTATACAAATTACTTTGGATCGTGGCTTCGGGGGCGCGAATTTAGTGTAAATTGCGAAGGATCGTGGCCTCGCAGGCGCGAGTGTGGAGTAATTTACAAGGGACCGTGGCCTCGGAGACGCAAGTGCGGCGTAGATTAGGAGGGATCGTGGCATCGGAAACGCGAACGTAGCGTAATTTATGAAGGATAGTGGCCTCGGGGAGGCGAATACAGCGTACTCTGCGAGGGATTGTGGCCTCGGGGGCGCGAAAACAGCGTAATCTGCAAGGGATTATGGCTTGGGGGGCACGAAACTCCCATATGTTTACGTGTCCCACGCCCCCCCAGAGATTCTAAGAACCCTTTCAGGGGACGCTAACCAGGGCCCTTTTCGGTTCCCCCCCCTCGCGCGGACAGTAGCAATTTACAGTAGGAAGCAGAAAACAGTATTGTAACAATGGAAACTGGAAGCTGGAACTGGCGCAGGGAGCAGCAACCTTAATCCTCGCAGCCTGATGGCCCCGCAAGGGGGCCGGCTGATGGCTCCCGCCGGTAACAACCTTGCGGTCGAAGACGTTCGGTGGCGACGCATGGTGGAAAGCTTGGAGAAGTCCGAGAGGCACGGTGTCGTGCGTTCGCGCCTTCGTCCCCATGTGAGTCCGGTTCTGTTCTGAGGACGCCGGCCATGCAATTCGGAACAGTCGCAGTCAGCCGTGCCCCCCGTACAGAGGTCGGGGCGCGGCGCGCCGCCGCGGCTGCCCGCCTACAGAGGTAAGCGGGAGGCGCGGCGGGCCCCATAGGCATTTCCGTCATGGCATTGCATGCGCCTATTTTCACGCTTTGTCTCTTTCGGATGTTCATAACCTCAAGTCGTTAGCACGGCTTGCGCCTGTTGTAAGGTGATTCATTGATCTCGCGCGAAACTTCATAGCAATGTGGAGTAGCGTCAGCCAAAAAAGCGCCCCAGGCGTGGACCGCCTGTTGGCGGTTAAAATTAATAATCGGGTATTCGTTGCACTTGGATACTGCGCTGGCGGATGACGGGAAGCGCCTTCTCGGAACGAGAAGGTGGCGGAAGTTTCTTAGGCCATGCTTCCTATGAGTTAATAAAGAACAGAGACGCGAGGGACCACGGGCTCGGGGTTGGGCGGGGTGGATCGATTGGCGGATGACGAGAAACGCCTTTTCGAAAGTGGTGGGAGTTTCTTAGGCCATGCTTCCTACGAGCTAATAAAGAACAGAGACGCGAGGGGCCACGGGCCCGGGATTGGGCGGGGCGCCTCGATTGGCGGATCCCCCCCAAAATGGCTGTTTCGCTCGAGACATCCTCGAGAAAGTAGGATTTTGAAGGACTTGTTTCAAAACGCTCCACGTCAAAAGTGAAGCTCCTGCTCGAGACATCCTCGAAAAGGAAAATCTCCAGGGATCTCGCGAATTCGTCGAAATCTTAGAAATGAGGCTCTCGCTCGAGACATCCTCGAAAACATGGGATAGTGGACGAGCTGTTTCGAGACGTCTTCAATTCAAAATGGGGCTTTCGCTCGAGACATCCTCGAAAAACTGTGATACCCACGGAGTTTGCGAAACGAGTCGGAGACGCACACACGCACGCGCACGCACGCACGCACGCACGCACGGCCACATACACACACACGCACGCACACGCGCACGCACGCGCGCACGCACGCACGCACGCACATACACACACGCACAACACACGCAACACACACAACACACACACACAAACACAATACGTGCAAACGCCACGCGCAACACCTGACCAAAGCAAACGCAGGCAACCATCGGGACGCATTCCGCTTTACGTGGGAATCCGTGTGCCTGCGCACGCAAGCTAAGAGAAGCTGCGTTTCCCGTTCTTGTCCGGATATGTCCCCCTCTTTATGGCCGTCTCGCTCGAGACATCCTATGTAAAGTGGGATATTGAAGGACTTGTTTTAAGACGTTTTAAGGAAAAGGTGGGGTTCCCGCTCGAGACATCCTCGAAACAGTGAGATATCCATGGATCTCGCGAATTTGTCGAAATCTTAGAAATGAGGCTCTCGCTCGAGACATCCTCGAAAACATGGGATAGTGGACGAGCTGTTTCGAGACGTCTTCAGTTCAAAATGGGGCTCTCGCTCGAGACATCTTTGAAAAACTGTGATATCCAGGGAGCTTGCGAATCGAGTCGGTCCAAGAAGGGCTCAAGAGGTTTCCAAGACTGTCCAAGAATGCTCCAAGACGGTCCAAGATACCCGTTATCGTACTCATCATCATCATCCTCGCCATCAGTACCATCATCATTTTCGTCGTCATCATCATTTCCAAAAGACGGAGAGCGCGGCAACAGAAGCCCCAAGAGCGAAGGAGCACGGCAGGAAAAAAAAGAAGGAGCACGGCAGAATAGACCCCAAGGGTTAAGGAACACGGCGGAATAGGCCCCAGGTGCTAAGGAACACGGCAGACAATGACCAGGAACACGGCAGAATAGACCCCAAGGGCTAAAGAACACAAAGGAAAAATATCAGGAGCACGGCAGAACAGGTCCCATGAACGAAGGAGCACGGCAGAATACGCCCCAAAAGCGAAGGAGCACGGCAGAAAAAGATTAGGAGCACGGCAGAATAGACCCGAATATTTAAGGAACACGGCAAAATAGGCCCCAAGAGCGAAAGAGCACGGCAAGACATATCCCGGAGCATTGCATAATAGACCCCAAGAGCTAAGGAACACGGCAGAAACAAAGACCAGGAACACGGCAGAATAGGCCCCAAGAGCGAAAGAGCACGGCAGAAAAAAAAAAACAGGAACGCGGCAGAAGAGACCCCATGAGTTACGGAACGCGGCCGAAAGTAGACCCCATGAGCGAAGAAACACGGCAGAAAAAGACCAGGAGTACGGCAGAATATACCCCACGAGCTAAGGAACACGGCGGGAAAACACCAGAAACACGGCAGAATAGGCCCCAACAGCGAAGGAGCATGGCAGAAAAAAACAGGAGCACGGCAGAATAAACCTTAGCACGCACACCGCACACACACCCGTCCCGCCCCCCCCAGAACACATACTGCATACATGCTCTCACGCAGGCACACATACGCACACAGCCGCACACGCACCTGCACACGCACACACAAGCACACACACGCACACGCATACAGGCCACGCGCAGCACTTGACCAACCCAACCAAAGGCAACCACTCAACGCAAGCTACTCATGGCAACCATCTGGGCGTCTAGGGAAGCCCAGCGACGACCATGTGCACACATTCCACGTTGTGTGCAAAGCCCTGCGCGTGCGCACGCAAGTTCAGAGAAGCGGCGCTTCCCGTTCTTGTCCGGAAAGGTTCCCCCCAAAACGGCAGTTTCGCTTGAGACATTCTCGAAAATGACGGATTTTGAAGGATTTGTTTTAAAACGTTTTAAGGAACAAGTGAGGCTCCCGCTCGAGACATCCTCGAACAAAATCTCCAGGGATCCCGCGAATTTGTCGAAATCTTAAGAATGAGGCTCTTGCTCGAGACATCCCCGACAAAAATGAGATAGTGGACGAGTTGCTTCGAGACGTCTTCAGTTCAACATGGGGCTCTCGCTCGAGACATCTTCGAAAACGGTGACATCCAGGGAGTTTGCGAAACGAGTCGGTCCGAAAAGGGCGTAAGAGGTCCCCAAGACGGTCCAAGAATGCCCCAAGACGGTCCAATATACCCTACCATCATCATCGCCATTATCATCATGATCATCACCAAGACGGTCCAAGAGGGGCTCAAGAGGGCTCCCAGAATCTCCCAGAGGACTGCAAGACGGTCCAAGATGCCCTTTCATCGTCTTCATCATCAGCCTCGTCACCACCGCTATCATCATCATCGTCGTCATCATCATCACATTGTCATCATCCTCGTTAGCGTCATCACGGTGGCGGGATGTACATAACGTTAGTATATAATATTATGCATCATGACACTACATCTTCCTCCTGGTTTCCCCTTTCCTCTTCATTTCGTCCTGGGTCACTGAATCGCCATATAACGTTGTCCGTAGGCACGCACACACACACGCACACACACACACACACACACGCACGCACGCACGCACGCACGCACGCACACATACGCACATATACACACAGCGCACACAACACTCACACACAACACGCACACACACACACACACACACTACGTGCAAACGCTACGCGCAACACCTGACCAAAGCAAACGCAGGCAACCATCCGGACGCATTCCGCTTTACGTGGGAATCCGTGTGCGTGCGCACGCAAGCTAAGAGAAGCGGCGCTTCCCGTTCTTGTATGGATAGGTTTCTGAAAAATGGCCGTTTCGCCCGGGACATCCTCCAAACATCGACCCAAGAGTGGACTCCGCATCGACGTCGTGTTCGAATCGGTTGTGGAGGGCTTTCCAACGGCCCAAGGGAGGCCCAAAAGACGCCCCGGAGAGCCCCAGGAGCCCCCAAGAGCGCCCCAAGAAGACCCCAAGAGACCCCCAAGAGCGCTCTAGGAGCCACCCAGACAGCTCACAAGAATCCCAAGACGGCCCGAGAAGGGCCAAGAAGGCCCCAAGAGACTCACGGGAGCGCCCCAAGAGGCCCCCAGCGCCGAGACGGCCAAAGAAAACTCCCACAGAACCCCACGACGCGCCCAGACAGCCCAAGAAGACCCCAGAAGCCCATAAGAGGACCCAAGGGGCCCCCAACAAGCCCCCAACAGGCCCCAAGAGAACCCCGCGCGGCGCCAGGAGCAACGTCTTTCTCCATTTGCCTCGTACTGTCCTCTGTCATTGTCGTCGTCGTCGTCGTCATCATCATCGCCCTCCTGATTCCTCCTCGTACTCGCCCTCGTTCTCTTCGTCATCGTCCTTGTGCTTCTCTTCCTCCTCGTTGTCCTCACGCTCCTCCTCGCTATCCTCACGTTTGCCACATCGTCCTCGTCATCGACTACCCGTTGTCCTCGCCTTCCTTTTCTTCTTCGCCCAACACGCCCATTAGACTACAGCGGCGCTTCCCGTTCTTGTCCGATCAGGTATTGCGAAGCGTTGGGGATCGTATTTCAACATTGTTTTTCTCCAAGCCTGGCACGTCATGTTCTGAATCATCTGAATTTCGGCTCCAGCGCCCCCGAGGCCGCGTGAGTCCGCCGACGTGTCACATTTCCATTTCTGAAGCCACTGCGTCTGTGCCATTCCCTCGTGGGCACGGGCGGGCTCTTCAGAAGAGCGCGCACGACTCTGGCGTTTGCCTCGCTTCGCGTCGCTTCCCTCCCCTTCTCCTCGGGTGTCGCCCTGGGGGGCGGGGGTTTCGCCTGGCAAACCTTTGCGCCCAAGGGGTAAGGGGTACCCAGACAAGTGGACACCACCGCTTCTACGTTTCGGAACAAAAAAGTTGACCCCGCCCCCTCCTCTTCGCCTGGGCCCCGCCGCAGCGCCTCGCGCCCCGCGCCCGCGCGGCCCACCGCAGGAGGCCGACACCGCGGCAGTCAGGCCCGACGGGCGGGTGCAGCAACGGGAGGGCAACGGCCCCAAGCCGGGGGTGCTTCTCGGAGGAGGGCATGCGGCCCAGGCCCCAGGCAACAGCTGGGCCTGTTTTGGGGCACCAGCTCCCCATCCCCTGCTGCCATCGCAAATTTAGCAGAGACCTTCAGTGCCGGTCTGGACTGGCTGACAACCGGCGACCAGCGGAGGGTAAGTTGAGGCAACGACGGCAGTCCTGTCGAGATCTTCGATACTCTCTTAGCCTGGATGATGTCAGGGAGTTTCGGGCCCCAGACAAAGGTGATGGAGACGGGAGCCACGTGTGGAGCCAGTTGCCGTCGTCTTCTCCATTGGCTCGGGTTCGGGCGCTGCTACGTGGCCGGCTGGAGTTCGCGACATTTCCTTGGTTGACCCAGGTGCTTTTGACCCAGGTGGTCTCGGAGGGGTCGAAGAATGTCTATGTTTTTTATATGTGTATATATATATATATGTATATATATACGTGTGTGTGTGTATGTATGTATGTATGTATGTATGTATGTATGTGTATATATATGTGTATATATATATATGTATATATATGTATATATGTATATATATATATATATATATATATATATATATATATATATATATATATATATATATATATCGGAGTAGGACCCCGGGGCGGTGCCTGTCATCTCCATGGGGTGTGCAGGGCGCCCCCGGGAGCGTCCGAAGCGGCCCGGAGGGCCCCTGGGACCGCCAGGAACAGTTCGAGACCGCCCAAGACGGCCCGCGAGCGCTCCAAGACGCGCATAGATAGCCTCAGGAATGGCCAGGGAGGCCCGAAGACGTTCCAAGAGAGCTCAATGAGGCCCCGAAGGCATCCCAAGAGGCCTCCCAAGAGAGCCCCGACAAGCCAAAATCGTTGATTTGTATTGTTCCCAACCATCCTGTGGTGTTGGGTCCTCGTTTTGAAGAGACGGTGCCCCGCGTTCTCCTTCCTTCCTTCCTTCCTTCCTCCCGCTGCCTCCTCCCCCCTCCCATCATCATCATCATCATCATCATCATCATCATCATCATCATCATCATCATCATCATCATCATCATCATCATCATCATCATCATCATCATCATCATCATCATCATCATCATCATCATCATCATCATCATCATCATCATCATCATCATCATCATTTCGGCACACCCCTCACACGTTTCGTGGCTCCATAGGGAGCTCCACCGAAGGCCCCAGTGCCCGCGGCCGCATGCGTCGTTTCGCTTTCACACGTTTCGTGGCTCCATAGGGAGCTCCACCGAAGGCCCCAGTGCCCGCGGCCGCATGCGTCCCCACACCCATTTCGGCACACCCCTCACACGTTTCGTGGCTCCATAGGGAGCTCCACCGAAGGCCCCAGTGCCCGCGGCCGCATGCGTCCCCCACACCCATTTCGGCACACCCCTCACACGTTTCGTGGCTCCATAGGGAGCTCCACCGAAGGCCCCAGTGCCCGCGGCCGCATGCGTCCCCCACACCCATTTCGGCACACCCCTCACACGTTTCGTGGCTCCATAGGGAGCTCCACCGAAGGCCCCAGTGCCCGCGGCCGCATGCGTCACCCACACCCATTTCGGCACACCCCTCACACGTTTCGTGGCTCCATAGGGAGCTCCACCGAAGGCCCCAGTGCCCGCGGCCGCATGCGTCCCCCACACCCATTTCGGCACACCCCTCACACGTTTCGTGGCTCCATAGGGAGCTCCACCGAAGGCCCCAGTGCCCGCGGCCGCATGCGTCCCCCACACCCATTTCGGCACACCCCTCACACGTTTCGTGGCTCCATAGGGAGCTCCACCGAAGGCCCCAGTGCCCGCGGCCGCATGCGTCCCCCACACCCATTTCGGCACACCCCTCACACGTTTCGTGGCTCCATAGGGAGCTCCACCGAAGGCCCCAGTGCCCGCGGCCGCATGCGTCCCCCACACCCATTTCGGCACACCCCTCACACGTTTCGTGGCTCCATAGGGAGCTCCACCGAAGGCCCCAGTGCCCGCGGCCGCATGCGTCCCCCACACCCATTTCGGCACACCCCTCACACGTTTCGTGGCTCCATAGGGAGCTCCACCGAAGGCCCCAGTGCCCGCGGCCGCATGCGTCCCCCACACCCATTTCGGCACACCCCTCACACGTTTCGTGGCTCCATAGGGAGCTCCACCGAAGGCCCCAGTGCCCGCGGCCGCATGCGTCCCCCACACCCATTTCGGCACACCCCTCACACGTTTCGTGGCTCCATAGGGAGCTCCACCGAAGGCCCCAGTGCCCGCGGCCGCATGCGTCCCCCACACCCATTTCGGCACACCCCTCACACGTTTCGTGGCTCCATAGGGAGCTCCACCGAAGGCCCCAGTGCCCGCGGCCGCATGCGTCCCCCACACCCATTTCGGCACACCCCTCACACGTTTCGTGGCTCCATAGGGAGCTCCACCGAAGGCCCCAGTGCCCGCGGCCGCATGCGTCCCCCACACCCATTTCGGCACACCCCTCACACGTTTCGTGGCTCCATAGGGAGCTCCACCGAAGGCCCCAGTGCCCGCGGCCGCATGCGTCCCCCACACCCATTTCGGCACACCCCTCACACGTTTCGTGGCTCCATAGGGAGCTCCACCGAAGGCTCCAGTGCCCGCGGCCGCATGCGTCCCCCACACCCATTTCGGCACACCCCTCACACGTTTCGTGGCTCCATAGGGAGCTCCACCGAAGGCCCCAGTGCCCGCGGCCGCATGCGTCCCCCACACCCATTTCGGCACACCCCTCACACGTTTCGTGGCTCCATAGGGAGCTCCACCGAAGGCCTCAGTGCCGCCGCCCGCATGCGTCCCCCCCACCCATTTCGGCACACCCCCCGCATTTCTCGCACGGCAGGGTCATCACCACGGTGGCGTGCCAGGGGCGCACCATGCGCGAAGGCGACGGGGCGGGGGAACGGCGCTCCGGGGGCGGCCAGACCTCCGGGGCGCGAGCAGTCCGCGGCCAGACCATCTCTCGGTCCTGTGGACTCTCGCCCTGGGCCGTCGGCTGCCCGGCGCGCTGCTCCCTCGGTCGACGTCGCCCAGGCGTGATCCTGGATTGCGGCCGCCACGAGGTAGGGAACGGCAAGAAGGAGGACGACGACTGGTGGCTGGAGCTCTACGTGCTGCTCTCGCGCGCCACGCGCCACGAGGACCTCCTGCTCATGCGGGCGCCGCGCATCGAGTTCTTCCTGGCAGGGCCGCCGCAGGGCTTGCGGAAGCAGCTGGAGCAGTTTGCGGCGCGCACGAAGCGGTGCAGGAGGGAAGCGACGGCCCTCGCCAGGGAGCTCGGCTTCACCGAGTTCATCCGCGAGGCCTGACCTGAGGAGCGTCTCCCCCGAGCCGCGCCTTCTCTCGACTGCCCGACTAATTGTTTGGCCTCGCGCCGCGGACGACCCGCGCGCGTCGCTGGGACCCTCTCGGGGCGACCAGCGCGCGTCGCGGGAACTCCGTGCTGCGGGGGGCCCGGCGCCTCGTTCGCCTGTCGTCGCTCTGCCCAGCGGTCAGAGACTTGCCCGCTATCTCTTTGCTTCGCGCAGCGGGCGACCCGCGCGCGTCGCTGGGACCCCGCCCGGGGCGACCAGCGCGCGTCGCGGGGACTCCACTCCGCGCTGCGCTGCGCCCGCAGCTTTGGATTTTGGAGTGCGCGGGCAAAGAGGAAGGAAACGAGGAGCCGAAAGCGGGCGCGATCCTCGCAAGAGGCGTGCCGACATGGGCGTCGCGACGTGCGGACGCTGCCGTCGGGGTTCCCGCGGAAGCTGCCTGCGGCGGCCACGCCCAGTGTCACGTGTGTTCGGACAGGCATGCTCGACACTTACACTAGGCGGTTCCATGATCGCATTCATGCAAATATATTCACTCGCGCGCAGACCCATTCATACTCAGATTCCCTCGCGCTCTGACTCACCCGCGTTCTTTCTCTCGTAATCAGATCTATCATATTCTTTTGCGTTGTGTACCCCGCCACATTTCGGCACACCCCTCATGCGGTTCGTGGCCCCATAGGGAGCGCCACCGAAGAAGATACTCACAATTGCGATACTCACAACTGCATATGGTTGGGTCCTTCGCCAGGATATTTTTTTTCGAGGTTTTTGGCCTTCTCGCTTTTTCGTGGTTCCGACGCTCCAAGGCCGCCCAAGAGTCTCCCAAAACCGCTTCAAGACTGCCGAAGAGGCCCCCAAGACCGCCCCAAGACGGCCCAAGAGACCCCCAAAATCGTCCCAAGACGGCCCAGGAGAGCCCCAAGATGGCCCAGGAGCCGCCCAAGACGGTTCCAGGAGTGCCCCGACAGGGCTTCAAGACTGCCTAAGCGAGCCCAGCGGTCCCCAAGAGGGCCCCGCGAGGCCCCAAGAGGCCCCAAAGAGGCCCCCAAGAGCCTCCCCGAAGGCCCCCAGAAGCCCCCAAGAGGCCCAAAAATGGCCCTCAGCGCGCCCCAAGACGCCTCCAGGAGAGCCCCACAGGCCTCCGAGAGGCCCCCAAGAGGCCCACTGGAGGCCCTCAGAAGGTCGTCCCCGTCATGTTCCCGGAAGGCGGTCCGGGAACATGATTCCGCGCCTTGGAGGAGTATTCTGCGCTTTCCGAGGCGCCTTCCGAGGCGCCTGGACGACGTACTACGTTTCTATAGATTGTCCTTCTCCTGTGTACACAATCCTACATGTCTTACGTATGGGCTTCTCTCTCTATATATATATATATACACACGCACACATACATACATATATATATATATATATATATATATATATATATATATACCCCTCCCCCAAGCCCTCCCGAGTCGTGCCACTTCCTTCCACGTATTTCAAATTCTTCCCCATATATAGAGGCCCCCAAGATGCCCAACAATGGCCCTGAGCGCGCCCCAAGACGCCTCCAGGAGAGCCCCACAGGCCTCCGAGAGGCCCCAAAGAGGCCCACTGGGACCTCCCCGGCTGTCTGAAGATCCAGTGCAGTGGATGCCTAGGAAACACAACAAGGTAGCTGATGGCCTAGCGGACCTTACCATGGACAGGATGGCGACTTGGAGCAAGCTGTACATCACAAAGTTGAACCCACAGACCGCCAACATTGTCATCCAAACAGATGGGGGCCGAAGGTCCG